AGATTCATACTTCATACGTTCCATGTTCTGATTTTGAATGAATGTTTACAGCTGTTTCTCTTCATTTTGAGTTGTGCCCCATCAACACATGAAGGTCCCACGGGTTTTCTCCCATAGGCTTTATTCTATTTGCGTCATCATGGTTCACTCTACTTCTGAAGAGGCAGCTCTTCCCCAGTTGCATTTTGAGTCCTTCCAATCTAAGGGGCTCATTTTCCAGCACTGTATCTGACAGTGTTTCTCTGCTATTCATAAGGTTTCAGTGACTAAATATTCGGAAGTACTTCGTCACTCTTTCTTCCTCGTCTGTCTTCGTCTGGAAGCTCATCTGAAACCTGTCCACCATGGGTGACCCTGCTGGTATTTAAAATACTGGTGGCATAGCTTCCAGAATCACAGCAACTCACAAGCCACAATAGTACGACAAACGGACAGACAAGTGGTGGGTTGTTGAGGTAGATTGTATCAATCTACCTCATAGAGTTTTCTTCATTTTTGCTGACAAAAAGCAGACCAGTGCATAAGCGTGACTGGACAACCCCTGAACAGCAACAAGTGCCAGGGAGGCAGTAGAGGCCCATATGAGTGGAGGATTTTGAGAAATTTTAAAGACAGCAACAACCACTACAGCTTAAACTCTATTTTAGTACTAGCTCCATGGGACATAGAATCTGATGCCAACATGTAACTGAGAAAATGGAATTACTCAACTTCTATTTTGCAATAGTCATCTTCATCAAACATATCCCTACAAAAGAAAGTGGCTAACTGTGGAAAATGGTATGGTGCTTCCTCAAAAAGTTGTAAAGACAAGTATCATGAGTCAATAATCCCTCTACTTGGTATATATCCTCAAGAAGCGTATGCACACCCATGTTCATCACAGCACTATTCACAATAGCAAAAAAGCTGGAGACAGCCTAAATGCTCATCCATGGAAGACTGGATAAACAAACGTTGATATGTAGACAAAATAGAATACTACGCAACACTGAAGAATGATGATGAATCTGCGCAACACCGCATAACATACATGAACCTGGAGGACATTATGCTGAGTGAAACTGCTCGATCTTAAGAGTACAAATATTGTATGGGACCACTACTGTAAAAACTTAAGACAAGGTTCCCATGCTGAAAGAAATAGTCCTTGGTGACCACTAACAGTAGGAGGTAAGGGTGAGTAATTCGCTGGCTAGAGAGTAGATACTGTCGGCAACGGTGACTGGGAAGGCAATGTCCAAGAAGAGAGAGTTTGGCAGAAGAATGATGAAGACAGGTGAAGGCACAAGGAAGAATGCAAGGGCTAAAGTGAATAAAGATAAATATATGATCCTGCAACAATAGTGCTCTACAGGCAGATATATAGACAAATATACAGGCTGAACAGATATGGAGGGAGGGAGAGTGGAAGTGTATCCACAAATATATAAGGCTTTCATAAAAGAGAGAATAAACACGGGATGGTGAACCACCAGTCGCTCCTACAGGAGAAAGATAGGCTTTTTACATCTAGCAAAGATTTACAGCCTCAGAAACCCTGTACAGGGTTGCTAGGAGTCAGAACTGACTTGATGGCACTTAACAACACAGCATTTACCTTTGCTGCAAACACACCTATGAATGTGGTGGAACACACAGGGGGGCAAATTATGAAAACTGTTTAGACATTACCAAACACCATAGGCAAAGAGCTGCTGAGCCTGGGAACTCAATCCCACAGTGTCTCAGGGGACACCAGGGTCACTTGGCATAACATAGGTCACAAAGAAAACACTCTACATCAAATACTGGTGAGTAGTGACTGGGATCTTAAAAGCAACTCATGAGCAGCCATCACAAGTAGCTATCGATGTCTCCATGAGTGGAAGAAAGAAGAATGATGAAGCTTGCAGATGCTTACAGTCAGTCAGTGGATAATGGAACCATGAATATTAGGTTTGCATGCGAATCTTAAGGTCAGCGGTTTGAAACTACCAACCGCGGGAGAAAGATGAGGCTTTCTACTCCCGTAAAGATTTACACCCTCGGAAACCCTATACAGGGTCGCTATGGGTCGGAACCGACTCGATGGCACATAACAACAACAACAAGGACCAGAAGAATTAGATGTTGTTCAACCACCACTACCATCTTCTCTGAAAGGGATTACATTAGAAGGTCACAGAGTGGGAGACAATGTGAAACAAAACTCAAAATTACTGACTGGGCTTACTGGTCAGACAAAGACGGGAGAAACCCAAGAGTATGGCCCTTGGTCACCCTTCAGGTTTGGAACGCAACTCATCCTGTTGGTCTAATTTTCAACCAATCAGTAGATAGGTATGTAAGGGGTATTCTCACCGTGGAATGGTTAACCATTCAAGATCAAAAGTGCAACACTATCCTAAGAACAAAGTTCAGAAGGGTTGGAAAGGAGGGTGAAACGGAATTAAGAACCACAAAGAGAAAATGGATAACTGTTGTTACATGCAGGGGGACTGCAATCATTGAGATGAAATGAAGTGTATGATTCGTTCAATGTAAAACTGATGGATTGCTCTGTAAACCTTCACTCAAGTCACAATAAAAAGATAAATATCAATTCATGAGTGGTCAACTAAGGTGCAACCACTGGTCTCTCTCTGTCCAGAGGAAAGAAGAGTGTTGAACACTGAAGTCGCTTAGTAACAAACAATTAGTCCAAAGGATTGATGGACCCAGTGAATATCAGTCTCCACAACCCTGAGATGGAAGAACTAGATGGTCCCGGATAACACTACCAACTGCTCTGAGAGGAATCACATTACAAGGTCCTGGATAGAATAGAAGGAAATGCGGAACAAAAGTCCAAATCATAAAAAAAGATCAGGCTATCTGGTCAGACAGAGACTGGAGGCACCAAGACTATGGTCCTTGGGCACGCTTCAGATCCAAGGCTCAATTTTCAAGTTAAGCAACAGATAGGTTTACAGGAAGCACAACACTGGCGTGGTACATACACCATAATGCAGTCAACCATCAAAGATCAGAAGGGAAGCATGTACCAAGGACATAATTCAACAGGGTGGGGAAAGAGGACCAAATGGAAAGGAAGCGAGATGAGAGACACTGCATCGATGAAACAGCAATTATTGAGGTGAAACAAGCATATAATTTTTTAATGCAAAACTAATGCTCTACTCTGTAAACCTTCATTCTGTTCACAGTAAAATGTTAAAAAACAAAAACAAAACAATTAAAGTGGTGAACAATTAAAGTTCAAGGAATGTACAGCTCAGGTAACTGATAAATCAGAAAGTGAGCACCTATCTACTACACAGAGTCGCTATGGTTCGGAATTGACTCGACGGCACTGAACAACAACAATCTACTTTAAGTCATTCCCAGTCTCTGAGCTGAGATAATCGTATCTGGAGGTCCACAGTGAATCTGCTTATAGAGCCATCGTTTATGTTTCGAGAGCTCCAGAGAGAATGGAGAGAGATCTCAGAAAATTAAAGGAGATCAAATGGCAATTTAAGTGGCACAAAAGATGCTAAAAAACACAGAAAACTAAGCTTGACATTCATAGCTTAATTTTTTTAACCCCAGAAATAATTATTGAACAATTGGTATCAATTGTGACAATTTATTACAATCTGATTAATAACATTTAGAGAGGAAAACACTGGTAACCCGGAGCCAGCATGAGTTCAGGATGAACAAGTCATGTTTTCCTTTTATTTGTAAAATACAGTCTCCAGGAAAGCAATTGTGTAAATAGATGGACTGCGATTCCGGTTTCGATAGAAGCCAAATGTCTCAAGACTTCCTTATACAACCGGAGTTGACATGCTAACTGAAGACCTCTTCACTCAGAGAGTGACGATTAACAGTTCAATGTCATTTTACAGGAAAGCCTTTAGCGCTACAGGGCTCTGCCCTTGGTTTTTCTTTCCTTTTACTATTTTTTTTAATTCAATGATTTAGAAGAAGATCTATAAAGGATGTTTACTTAATATAAACTGTGATTTAGAGGCAATTACAAGATCATTTATCAAGATTCAAATATATCCCAACTAGTTAGGCGATAGTTCAAAATGATACAGTTTTTAAAAGTGTTCAAATACAGATTGAATGAGAATCACTTAATGGCAGCTGATGGGGAAAGCATCTAATTGTTCTAGTTGCTTATAAACTCACTGGTCAGCCAATACTGTGTTCTTCAAAGAAGTAATGCAAATATAGGGTATATAAAAGCACTGCATTAAACAGACCACATTCTAGATTATTTCCTTTGTTTATGGGCCACACATTTATGTGAGAGCAATGGACCGCAAATTACTGGGAGGCTGCACTCCATTGTTCTTACACAAGGGGAGGATCAGGAAAGTTCTAGAAATGATGTTACCTGAAGAAAGGCCACAGGGCCATTCTAACTGTGGTAGAAATTAGTGGGTAGAAGAAAGAAGATATTCTGGTAGAAGAGCTAGGGAAGTTCAAAATTGTTTTAAAGAGAGTGACTGTTTTGGTCCTCCCTGGAAGAAATGCAATAGACTCTTTCAGTTTCAGAGGGCCTGGCCTGGAGATAGGATTGGAATCTACATGGAGGTAAAGCTGAAGTTAAAAAATGAAGCCAACTCTAAGAATCACAACTGCTGTTACATGAAAGGTGACACTCTCTGAGTTAGTGACCTTCTTGTTATTGGATGACCCCAGCCAGGGTGCTATAGCGAGAGATGACTGGGAGGCTGAAAAATGCATTTCAAGGCCTCACAGGGCTGCATCCACAACTCTGTTGGACACATGGGAGCTTCTGAATACAATGCAACAAATATGAAAATCAGAATAAAATAGCAGCTTTTATTCCTTTATAAATGACTGTGTATTTGTTTGTGTAAGTCTAATTTTATTTTTTCTTCTTTCAGGTTGCCAAGGGAATGTCATTAACAGGAGTAAAAAAGATCCTCAATCACATAATACGCTTTGACAATATCCTATTAGGCCACCGAGAAAAGTACAGTCTACTGTATACTCACTGGTTTTGCACTGACAAGTTCGACAACCACTGTGATCAAGTTTGAAGCCATAAATGCAGTCCTTCTCTGTCAGGGTGCAGTTTGTTAGCTCCCCACAAGCAGGTGGATCAATGGTGATGTAGGTTGGCTCTAATAATAAAAAGAAAAAAAAATAAAGTCAATGAAACATATCATTACCTCTTGGGAACTATTCAATCTTTTAAGTTCTATAGAAAAATCTCATCAATAATTCTCATCAAATCTCAAACTTTTATACTCTCATCATATCTTTAACCCCTATATACAACTGTTTTTAAAAACTGGAATTTTGAAAATCTTTATGTTTGAGCAATTTATGTGTTGTTTTTTCCTGAGGTCCTCACAAAATACTTTTCTGCTGGTCAAACTACACAAAGCAGATTTAGAGAGGTTAAAATTAATTCCATTTAACTTGCTAATATTGTTAATGCTTCTTCCATTTCTTTCTGATGTTTTCTGAGCTTACTTATAGTTTCTAAGAATCAAGACAAAGTGACCAACTGCCTATTATCCCACTCCCCATGTCAAATCTGTTAGCTCTTTCCCTCCAAATTAATATATCAGATATACACATCTTATGTGTGATGCTCACTCAGTGATTACAGATGACATAAGGAAGACACTGAATAGGAGCTCATACTCCAGGTCCACAAGCTTATGGGAGTGGCAGAGTGAGAGACAGGCATTTGGGAGAAAAGAGGCCCACCATTCTGGGAACACACACAGACAAAACCACGGCCTAAGAGATGTTTTACCTCCCCCACCCCCATGCTAATAATTAAGAATTGTTCTAGATAATAACAGGAATTACACATGCTCATATAATGCATAGTATGTATTTATTTACAAAGCATATTACGTATTTATTTAATCTTTGTAGTCCTTTTCATCAATACCTTCAAGCCTTATCATGATCCAATGAGACAGGTGCTATCACCATCTTCATTTTACAGATGACAACATCGAGCTATCGACTTGTCCAAGGTCACAAAGTGAGTAAATGGACCTAGGATTCACAGTGAGGCTTTCTGGCTCCAGAGTCACAGTCTTAGATTCTGGGCACCATAAAGTCTGTTGTAATGAGAGCTGTTTTGTATTACATTGTAAGTGACAGCTTATATAATGCCCAGTTTGGGGAGAGCATTATCAAAGGAAGCAGCAGCTACATGGACATCTTTTCAACCAAAAGACAATGAAGTTTCTCAGAATTAGCTGGTTACCACAATATCTTTGTGAGAGTGCCAAACACAGAATGTCTTCACCTATGTTTTCACAGATGGAAAACATGAAGTGCAGAGAGGGTAACTCGCTTATCTAAGTTTACAGAGCAACCCAGTAGCAGGCTGGGAATAGAACACAACAGAGGTTCCTGACCTCCTGTCCAACACTATATCCATTTATCCACAGTGTCTTCTCAAGTTTCATCTCCTGTTACCAAGGAAGAGAGACCAAAGCAAGTGTTTTAACTGCCACTGCTCACATCAAGAGTTCTACATTTGTATCTATTTGCTAAAAGCAGATGGTGATTCAACTCTTCACAGGTAGCACGCAACTGTGACTTATTACAGAGATGCTGTGATCAACATTTCCCTGATAAAAATACTTTCTCTATTTTTATTACAATAGACATAATTTGAAGAACATTTCCCTAAAACTTGTATAAAAACTTTCTACTGCTATAAAATTTATAATTTCTTCCAATAGTAAAAGTACCTTTTCTGAAAGGTTAACTGTAAACATCAAAAAGTCAGTTAAACAAGTTTTAAGACATACTGAATATAGTGTTTCTCTATTTTTCTGACATTCTCCTAAAAAATCACCAGAGCCTTCAGACTTCAAATTTATGGATTTTCATTACCATTGTCATTTAGTACTTCAATTAATTAATTCTATTTCAGCCACGAAACTGCCAATATTTTGTCTGAATGACTCTATAACCATATATACAAGACAAAGAAAACAAAGGACCAGTGCTAACTTAAAGCACACTTATCATATCAGGGAAGAGTTTTCTAAATGTGTTTAACTTTTCTTGAGCTTCAACTTGAACTTGCACATGACCAATTGATAGTCTGCTCCACAGTCAATTCCTAGCTTTGTTCTGAATGATGACACTGAACTTCAACTTTTCTTTCCACAGATGCAGTGGAATGATTCCTGTGCATTCCAAATGGTGATGCCCAAATGTATAGTTGTGGTTTATGTCATCGAAAAAAATGTATTTGCAATGATTAAGTCGCTGGTCTTATAAAATTCTATCATGCAATATCTAGGATAGTTTCTATCACCAAGGTCATATTTCCCAACTAATAACCCTTCTTTGTTTCTAAGTTTTACATTTCAATGACCAGTAATTATTTTATTTGATTACATGTTTGAACAATTTCAGACTGAAGAAGTTAGTAAAAATCTTCAATTTCCTCATCTTTGGAATGAGTGGCTGGTGCTTATATTTGGATAATACTAACATTAACTGGTCTCTCATGTATGTGTCTGGACCTTATCACTGATAGTGTTCTTTTAGCTGACATTCCTCTTCATAGTAGACCATGTAACTGTCCCATTAAAAAAATGACTAATTGGTAGCGTAGTGGTTACGAATCGGGCTGCGAACCTCAAGGTCAGCAGTTCGAAACTACCAGCTCTTCCACAGGAGAACGATGAGGCATTCTGCTCCCATAAAGATTTACAGCCTCAGAAACCGTGTACGGGGTCTCTATGAGTAGGAACCGACTTCACGGCACACAGTCACTATCAATATCAGTTCTTACAGCTCACTAATGCCTACGATATTGATCTTCAAATGTTCCATTTCGGTTTTGACAACTTCCAATTTTCTTTGGTTCATACTTAGTTCTTCTCATCTTCCAATAATTAATGGACATCTGCAACTGTTTCTTCTCATTTTGAGTCATGCCTCAGTAGCAATAAAAGTCTTGAAAGCTTTACTCTCTCCCTGTCATTACAGTTAACTCTACTTTAAGAACTTTTAAAGTCTTCACAAGTGTCATTTTGTATGCCTTTCTTACAGAGGGGCTCATCTTTCAGCACTATGTCTTATCCATTAGAGTTTTTCCACTGCCTGTTGTTTTCAGGGGTAGACTGCCAGGTTCTTCTTCTCAAGTCTTACTCTAGAAGCTCCACTACAACTTAAAACACCCATGTGATACTGCTGGTATTTCAAGTATCAGTGGCATAGCTTCCAGCATCACAGCAACACCGGTAGGATCACAGTATGACAAGCTGACAGATGGATCATGGAGTCCCACAAGGCTGTATGATCACCCTTTCATTCCCTAAGGGGCATATAGCCCCTATCCTACATTTCCTTCCTTGGAGGTTGCTTTATCCATTCACTGACAGTATAGTCACCAAGAGGGGACCTGTATAACTGTCTGAAATGGAAGAAATGGGTGAATGTCAAATACCACTATATTTACAGGGTATTACATAAGGTGATACATCTTGGAGATGTGATTTTGTAACACTTGTTTCTTCTGACGATTTTACTAAGAGATAAGCCCTGTAAGTGTGTTTCTGGGTTCCGGTGTGTCATTTGGAGGTTGCCTTTCTTGTGGTGGCCCCATGTTTGCTAGAACATGGTATTTTTGTTGTTGTTGTTGTTAAGTGCCATCGAGTCGGTTCCGACCCATAGCGACCCTGTACAGGGTTTCCGAGGGTGTAAATCTTTACGGTATTTTTAGGGTCTCTTAAATTGTCTGTGCCTGTCATAGACTCTAGACAGCAGTACAATGAGTGGAACAGAGAAGCATGTGTTCCACTAATCCTATCCCAAGTCCAGAGGGATATATGTGTACCACGTAACTCCCCCCATATCTCCCAGTTGAGAAATAACTAGTATATTCCACAGAATCTAAGCCATTGAGTACAGAGGGATGTGTATATCCCACATGTTATGTATGAATACCCACATTTCATAACAAACGTTCAGAACTGTTACTTGATTCCACATGCCTTCCATCAATGAAAATACAAGCTATCAGCAAAAAATTCAAAGCAGAAATGAGAGGGTTAAATATTCTAGGTCAAACAAGTTCTATTAGATGCCTTCCAGGCTTCAGATGATGTGGCAGAATGTAAGAAGTAAAAACTTAGGCTTTGCCTCCAAATAATATTTTTTCCCATTCATTGATGGCCTACATTAGAGGGAAGGAATTGAGAAGTACACATTTCAAATTCTGACCCCCTTAATATTCATTAAAACACACGAAAACTCAATGAAGTCATTTATTCACGGAGACTGTCCATTTACTCTGGAACTATTCAATTTCCCCCTGATAGATCAGGGCGAACACAACATCCATTTGTGATATACTAAATAGAGACAGCAGTTTACATTTTTCTAGAAGGCATTTTAACATTTGTCATCTCGTTTCATTACATTTAGCGAAATGAATACCGTTTTCCTATTCACATACAAGCCAAGATAAATTTTTAAAGCCTTTGGGGGTGGGGGCGAAGAATGTTTCTTGGGTACTTACTGTTGTTATCCTATGTCACTGGAGTAACTGCTGATTTGAAATAGACACATTTGCAGGCAACTAGTTGTCTCCTAACACTTCATCTGAAGTCATGTATTCTATTACCTTTTCATCATTCGCTCCACATTCAGTGCTGATTTCCTACTGTGCCAGGCCGTATCTGACAAATTAGTCAGATTTCTGTGAGAATATTTTTACAACAGAAATATGCAACTATATATGACCTAGGAAAAATCTGATATTATCATTAAACAGATCTGAGAGTTGGCTTTAAGTACAACATATTAATATGTAATCTTAGAACCGGTTCTATTACTAACATCAGGGAATTCTTTTTTTCTTTTTAAAGAAAGGAACTGGGAGACTACTGAAATTCAATTGAACTCCAATGTGAGATATACTTAACACCAACCGGCCTTAAAGAATTTTAAATCAATATGCAATTTTCACTCCTTTAAGAATAGCTTAACAACCAAGAGCTCATTTAGATTTTTAATGTCGTTTCTACCCCAGAAAGTTCTTGGTGGGGAAAGGAGTGATGTAAGAAAATCTACAATCAGAAATCATAGTATCAGTGTATCATGCAAAATGACTGTATTATTTCTAATC